CGCGCAGCTCATGCTGCAGCAGACGGCGACGAGCCGTGGAGCTAGACAACACAGTACCTGTAGCCATGCTCCAAGATTGTACTAACATACGAGAGGACGCTGTACGTTCCGTCACAGACATGCGGATGAGGAGTCTGTCGTCCCGTGCGGTTGTGCTATTACATGCCCCACTGCCAGGACTTCGCCTTGTTTGGTTCTCTTCTATCCATTTCTTCCAAGCACGCATTACTGTCGTGGCACTACGTTGCGTGCGGGCTATGATTGATAAATACAAAAGTACACCCTCTCGCATACCGACGATGCGGTCCCGTTCGAATTTCATTATTGTTGGTATGGCAACTTCCGCTGTTGACGAGGCATATTCACTAATTAAACGTTCACCGCAGACAGAGGACGGTAAACAGATTTCAAAGCAACTGTACAGTCCTTTATATACATTAAACAAGTCAGCAGGCGGTTCTTATTCCACGTATGCGCAATCGCTTTGTAATTCTAATCATTTGCATATCTTACCTCATTTTAAGTTTCTCTAAGTTTGGTTCAACTTTTATAATTCCTTCATAGTATTGAAATTTTCACAACATTAGTGTATTATTTATTATTACTTTAGTTATTATTTCTAGTGTTAGCAACGACATCGCAGATTGGCTAATATGATTCAATAAGGCGAAGAAAAAAATGGTAAAGAAAAACGTAAAGGCAAGAGAAAAGGATGTGTGTGGCGTCAACGCACTCAACTGATCAACTTTTAAGTTTGCAAGTAATATATCCGAAAACGAGAGTCACCAAAAACAACCTAAGAGACATCATTGAGCAGTAAAAAAATTAGTTCTGTAGGTGCTCTTGACTACAAAACTAATCTACTAACACCTACAGAAAACTTCCTGTAGGTGTTCTGTACTGAGGGCTATTAGAAAATAACTTATTAGTTATTTTCTAATAGCCCTCAGTACGCTTATATACTGTATACTTATAACAAATACATATACTTATTTGACGGCTATATACAGAACATCAACAATATGCAGTCAAAATAGTTATTTCTATCTATGCATTTGATGCGTTTACTTCACTATCAACACATTAAGAAAGTTATTCGAGATTGATCATTGGGGACTGAAACAAGAGTTGAACCTTGAACAGTACACAGGTATGCTGGCTGGTCGTTTTAATTTATAGCTTTATTCGATACGTCAGAGAATGGAGGACTTAGTTATTTTCTAATAGCTCTCAGTACGCTTATATACTGCATACTTATAACAAATATATATACTCATCTAACGGCTATATACAGAATGTCTGAAGAGTCGCTTCCTATTTTGATTTATTTAAAGACATCAACTTATTTAATTATTAGCTAGTTTTGTTTAAATAAGAGTTGTATACATTCTGTTTCTTGACTTTTTGTTTATCATAGTTTTTAATTTCACATAAGCTCTAACATTTTAGAGTATTTCTTTAAATAATTTAATACTTTTACATTCGTCTTGAAAAAGATTTAAGGAAATTATTCATCGCATTGGAAACTATTGTTTCTGATTCATCCTAGATTGCTTTTGGGAGATATATGTTTTAAGAAATACTTCGTTTTGGCTTATTTCCAGTGCAGAATACCACAAAGAATGAGACCTGAGCTGTAAACGGGCTATTTGTATGCGTTAAGTCTGCCAATCTGTAGGTGTGGCAAATGGTCATACGGCTAGTCTCAGAATATGAAGCGCATCGTTCACAAAATGTGAAAATACATCGTCACTACAAATCTTGCAGATGACTTCCATTATTAATTATATGATACAGGTAAATGAATTGCCGAGCGTTGTGCGCAGAAACAGCCCCTCGAAGCTTGGATCTAATTCACTGCGATTTTATTTTTCTGGGATTGCAAAAAAGAAGGAAGTATACAGAAGAAAATTTGGATGAACTGGAGGCATCAGTTTCCACTGTACTCAACAATGTACACTCATTTCCAAAAGTTAAGCACGGAGAGGAAAACGCTAATTTCCGGAAGCCAATCAGAATTGAAGAGGATGCAATTCGCTGCAGAGGTAGATGGAAGTATGCAAATATGTTAGGTAACAGTCAATCGCGCTTTCATGTCAAGAAATATGCAAAAAAGGCAGTCTTATAAGAAGCCAGCTTTACGAAGGGTTACAGAAGTTGATTGTAATTCTGATAGAAGGTGTTTCGTACAATTTGTTTTCAAGACATACGTGTTTCTAGGACTTCCAGAAGACGAATGGAAGATTATGAGCGCTGGCTTGCTGTGGACGCATTCAAGCAGGACAGTCGATCACAGATGTTGCTCTTTTCTTCGGCGTTCATCATTCTGTAATTTCACGTTTATGGAAACAGTTCCAAACCACACAGACAGTTGTCCGAAGGCCCGTAGCTGGTCGCCCAAGGGTTACAACCCCTGCGGAAGATCAATATATTGCTATTGTAGCCAAGCGGAATCGCAGAGCGACCTCCACACGTGTGACATCTATGGTTACAGCGTCCAATGGTAAGGCGGTATCTGCAGCTACTGTATGCTGAAGATTACATGTGAGTGGACTGTGCGCCCGGGTACCTCGAGTTTGTGCTCCTCTATCCGTCCAATCAAGAGGGGCACGATTACAGTGGTGCTGGGAACATGTCAATTGGAATGTGTCTGACTGGAGCAATGTCATGTTTACTGATGAGTCAAGATTTGCTCTGGAGCCAGATGACAAGCGTGTAAGTATATGGCGTGAACAACGAACACACATCACACATTCCTAGGCCTAAGCATTATGGTGTGGACAGGGATTTCATTAGGATGACATTCATTAGGACAGGGATTTCATTAGAGTGAAGAGATTGCGCATATGGCATGGCCAGCATATTCGCCCGACCTTAATCCCATTGAAAATCTTTGGGATGCTCTCCGCCGTGTTGTATTTTCCCGTTTCTCACCTTCACTCTTATTGAGCTGGAAACTGCTCTACAAGAAGAATGGCGATTGCTTAATTCTGCGGTGGTTGACCACCTAATTGAAAGCATGGTCACAAGGTGTAAACTTTGTATACAGATGAGGGGGGGGCTATATCCTATTAACGTCCCTTTTGTTTTATTTTATGCTGTTTATTTTCACTTTATACATAATTCTGTTTAAGTCTCCAGTATGTCATTATCTGATAACTTACAAAAATTTAATATCGTTTTCATTTCTGTATATAATAATTATTGATTTTGTTTTATGCATAAATATATATGCTACTTTCCTGCCGAATTTGTGACAATCAAAGCAGTATTTGTTGATTTTTTTTTTTTTTTGCATTTTACATCTTCGTGCTTAACTTTTGGAAGTGAGTGTACTTTAACGCTTTTATAGTGGCAGTAGCAAATGTACCACTTCACTCATAGAATTACAAATATGTTGAAAATTAATTGAATATATTTTAAAAATTACTAGCGGCTGTGGCTAAAAAAAATTTGTAAGTTCTATGTACACCTGAAATGAAAATGCATAAAAACATTTCAACATGAATGAAATCAGTTCAGTCCTTCCAAGAAATAACCAATTCCTAAATAATTTTACGACTAATTAATAATTAATTTTAATTTACCAAGAAATAAAAAATTTGGACCCATCGGGTTAATACGTATACGTATGACATAATGATTTAAATTGAATGTAATATAGCAACTTTTTATCAATATCAATAAAAGAATTAATGTGGTAATAATAACATATCGTGTCAATTATCCTAACCTGAAACAAAAAAGTTGCCAACAGCAGTTATTTATTTAAATGCTGACATTAACAAAAACTTCTCGACATACAATCTTTGCTTTTTTCAACGTCAGAATATAACCTTATATTATAATAATATATTTAATGTTTGGCAATGCTATTTTTATTTCATATTTGGTAAAACTTACAAATTTTTTTATTAACAAAGTCTACGATTTGAAAGCGAGCAGTGGCAACACTTTTCGAAATAGAGCAGATTTTATCTCTTGCGCGCGAGACAGTTGCCACTCAGAAAAATGAGAGCGAAAATTAGCGTTTAGAGATTTTAATTTATATCGCGGCTTATTAAAGTCGTACGAAGATGAGAATGGTCGAAACGGCTTCCCACGGATTTTTGAAATCCAGAAGGTACTTCTTTCGAAACTAAACTCCCTGCTGTTCTGGAGGAAAAGATGCCACAAACAAACAGATAGACACGCGCAGATTTTAATAGTATCGATGTTGAACAAACATCAACTAATGGAGTGGATAGTAGTTCAAATTACAATAGAATTAGTGATGAATAAAGATGTTAAAATTATCTAAAAATAGGAAGTGCCTAGCCTGATATCTTTACTATAACAATTGATTTTATATAGATTTTTAAGCGGTATAAAATGTTATTTTGAGTTTTCAATGTTAAACTAATGCTTAGCTAAAACAGTCAGTTCCAAATTAATTAAATCATATTTTTAATTCATAAAAATGTGCTTCTTATATATTTTTTACTTCGTCGCACTGAATTTCCTTAAGAACTTCAGTAATAACTATTAGGTCATACTTTTCCTCAAATTGCAACTAATCAGATAAAGTTCGCTTATGCCTCTCGTAAAATATAATTTTATGGGACGTTCTTGTTATTTCTACTCTTTTCTAAATTAGCCTGTAAAACAGAATGAACATCGGCCTCTCATTATCAAAATAAAAATCATACAGTTTCCAGTGATGATATGCTTCAGATTATCAAAAACGCTATAAATTTTATGTATTTTTCACTTCTCGAGTAAAATTTTAATAAATATAAGATAAAAAAACAAATGACCGTAACTTCTAAATTGTGTAAATGACAGTAATAAAATTTTACAGCATTACCATAATTCTTTGCTGCTCGTATACTTCACATTTCAAATAAAACTCGCCAAAAAATAACACATAAGTAACTATAATTTGCCGAGTCATGTTAATGGCGGCAATAAGAATTTACAACAGTATCATAGCATAATCATTTAGTAGTGATAAGACTTACTCTTTTGAAGAGTTCATTTTTTGGCGATAAAGTGCCTCATTTTTTACAAATCTTTTCTGTTTTGCAACAAAAACTGAAGAATTTTCAGCACTCCTTCCTATATCAATATACGGAAAACCCATTTGTTCTGTCCAAGTTTTCATGATACTGGCAATGGTATGGTTTCCCTAAGAAAAATAACGATTAATTATTATGAAAAAAACACACGAAAAATTAATTTTAATGAAAATTAGCTTCATTAATGTAAATTACAGTTTTTAATAAATATAAGAAAACATACAAGTAATTAATTTTCCGCTAAAGGTTTTTCGTATTAAATTACTATTTATTATAGTTATTACTTTATATGAATTAATCTTAAATAGAAACACAATAGAAATAATGCTAGAGTCAGAACTACATCTAATCAATTTGTAGGGAATCTTATGCTAATTAATTAGTTATTTTGATTTCAGCCTTTACTATAACTTCTCCTCCCCGAATTCCTCACCAGAATGCAAATTATTAGTAAGTATTTAAACTGATGTTTTGGGATTTGAGACAGAGCGTGTTTCTGGCACTGAGTGTGAGCTAGGTTGCTAGTTTCCTTCTACTTGTAATTATTTGGTTTTGTGTTTTCTCGCTTCCGAAACTTTTAATCTGAAGCTCCGGTAGAATTAGTGAGGGAGCTTCTTGTAGTATTTAATTGTGTAGCCCCTGACAACAGTTCAGCGTTTGATTTAAACAGGACTGTTCGATGTATTTGTACCGCCACGAAATATAATTATATTGTAACACAAGAGATAGCCCTTTTGTTCTAAATTCTGTTTAAATAAAAAGTTTGATGTGTACACCCCATGACTTCTTTGTAAGGAATATTAAATTATATGCATTTTTCTTGCATTTCATTTAAACTTATTGGATTGAATTAAATCTACTTCGTCGATAGCGCATAAACCACAATAGAATAAATGCACTCTTTAAATTTACTATATTTGTTTACCATAGCGACATTCTGGCGATAGTTTCACTTAACAGCGTTACATTTCGTTCATATTATAACTCAGAATGCATATAAATTTATATCATTTGAAGAATTACCTAATCATTGCCCCATGTTCTATTCGAATACTATAATAAATCTAAAACGATGTATAAAAGAAATTAAGGAAAGAAAACAAAAAAAGAAACACTTTTTCACAGACGATTCAGTATTTCTCATTCAATTAATTCAGTTCTCACTTCGGAAAAGGCAAAAATACACAAAAACTCAAACTATCTATATTAAAAATTACGAAGTAAATCTTAAACACTTATTTTCTCGAATAAATTCCAGAATGGGTTAAGCATGATTTAATTCGCAATAATAAAAGAAGGCGTTATCTTTATTGTTGTAAAACTTAGTTTCTCTAGATTGACAACAAATCTGCTATTCTGCTAGGTTTCAAATGTAAACAAACATAGCCGCATGGCAAAAATAATTAGGCTTAGCCGCACTTAAACAACTTTTAAATTGTTGATAATTCTATAAATATTACATGCAGATTTACTAAAGGCATAAAAACCTTAACCGGAAGATAAGAACAGCATAATTCAATGATTTTTAAAGAGCAAACAATGTACAATTTACAAACATATAAGGATAAAGGAACTGAGATCACTGAGCCGACTAACAAAGTGGATATATATATATATATATATATATATACAAATATTTATATACTTTTGGTGCGACCGATTGGAACCAAATATACGAGGAGCACATCTACATGTTATAGCAGTTCTATATACAAAATTTCAACGCTTTGAGGCTACTCGTTTTTGAGTTATGCGAGATACATACGTACGTACGCACAGACGCCATGAAAAATTCTCTTCAGAATTCATTTTAAATCAGTTTTATAATTTTTTGGGTGAAAAGAGTCCTTTATTATATCCTTACGTATAGCTGTCTGGCAAAAACATCGTTAAATTGCATTCGATAGAGGTGAAAAGAGATATTTACGTTGAAATATGATGCCTGAAATTTTTCGCGATTACAATATTTCCTTCTTACTTCGTACAAGGAAGTAAAAAAGGTAAAGTTAATCATCTCAACACTTTATGTCGTTTTTCTCAGACATGGCGATAATCCCTTTCACGTCTGTTAGGTTTATAGGACAAACGTACTATGACCAGAGCACGTGTAATCATATAATTAGATATAAAAGTTTGGCATCTACTGAAATTTTATTGGATAAATATTAAAAAAAAATCTGATAAGGACACCACATGTACGCGAATTAAGTTACACACACTGTTTTGCTGCACTTCATTTAAATTTATTTTCTAGAGTTATTTTAACTTAATTATAAAATCTGCAAATTTTGAAATTAAATATCCTAGTCAACTTTTCCCGTAAGGGAGTCAAACTTCTGTATTTTCATTTTTTCGTAACGAGTATAAAACGTTAGAAAATATAAGTATAGAACCAGAAGATCGAATTAAAAGTTAGATTTCATTATTTGTCGAAAATTATTATTTTTTTAAAATTTGACATTACCTGACATAACATGAATATTTTCGTCATTTAAAACACTTCCGTAATTGGAAGTATACGACTAACACCAACGACCGCGAAAATACAAGCAAGGTAAGGTTAGTGGTTAGGGGAGCCTGACTGCGATACCAAAGGGCCCGCGTTCGAATCCCGGAGAAAGCATGGATGTAAAATTGTCTGTCCCTTTATAGAAAAAAGCGGTGGCCGTCTTCTGTCCGTACTTACACATGTAACGCAAAAAATTCGTCCAAATGCATCAGCTGTCAAAATTGATATTTTTGTTGAAATACGATACCATAAAGTTTTCGCGATTACAATACTTTACTTTACACAAGGAAATCAAAATGCTTGAAATTCACATGTTGGATAATAATTTATATCCATGTCTTTCATTTAGACATGAATTTCATACGTTGAAAATGCAAGTTAGGAAGAACGCTAACAATACTAATAAGCTTTGGCTTTAGTTAACATAGACAATCCTCTCCTGAGCAAAGTTTGATGATTACACTAGAACATTGAACTGTTTTCCAGAAATCATATATTAGACTCTAGATAGCAAAATTTTCGTTGTTTTCTACTATTATGTGACTTATTTTCCGATTGTAGCACGTGCAGCTAGTAGTCTGGAGATCCGGAGTTCGAATTTCGACGAGGGTATAGTTTATTTCTTACATTTTCCAGCTTCCAAGAAATTCTAATATTCTGCAGCAGCGCAGGACTAAAGTTGTGGTGGACGATAATTCGTATCTATCTGAGTTTGGTCGGTCGTTCCCCTCAGTGCAGCTATCATTTAAGTGGGAAGAATGTAAAGAATCTTCGTTTTCTCTAATGCGTGCTCACGTAGTGTAATTGGTAGCAGTCCAGCTAGTAGTAGTAACAAGATCTGGTGTTCTAATCCTGGGAAGGGCATAGTTCATGTTTCGTATTTCCGGTTCCAAATAAATATCTAATAGCTTTACATAATAACTTCATTGCAACTAAAGTAGTTCGCAAGGTAAGTGTAATTTATAGGCAAAAGTGTTTCAGTAGAAGTTAATATCGTATGAGTTACAGATTTAGAATAGCGACCGTAGTTTCAAGAAAGGTGAAAAAAAAATAATGCCGATATTTCAATTTTATACAAACATGGTTTGAAATATGTAAAAAGTACTAGGGCTGTATCTATAAAAGAGATCCAGTATTTTCAAACGCAATATTGAATTAAAGAGTAGCTGGTATTAAGAAAAGTTAGTACACAGTAATCTGGAAATCAGACTGACCTTGTGGTAAATTATTGATTCTGATTCATGCGATGACAGCTTGGGACTTTCAGTAACTTCTCTCTTAATTCTGTAAACAGTTTTGCTTGAAGTGAAGAGAAGTATTGATAAAGAGATACAAGAATGCTAGTTAACCTTTTAAAAGCAGAAATTCATATCGGACTTAATTTCCATGATTGCGTTTTCATGCTTCGACCTTCTAACTGGTCACTTCAGAGATATCAGCCAAAACAGTAAAGGAAAAGTATTCATGTACGATTGTCGCAATTTTTCTAATAAATATGGACCATATACAAGTAAGTAAATGAAAGTAGTTAAAAATATTTAAAATTATTATTACAATAAAAATAGAGTTATTAAGATAATTTATTTTCGTATTAAACGTATGCAAAATTAAAGAACGTTAAGGATTATTTTTTGGCTAAAATGATGCCTATAAATTTATGGTTTTACAACTGTGTTTCATATGCTACACTAAGGGCAAAAAAGGGGAGGACAGTTCTATATCTCCCATTCTACTGGGCCGATTGACGAAATTCAAATTGCCTCTTTCATGTATCGAAAGCGCGACTGAGGATATATATTAGATTTATATATAGCACTGTTTAATATAGGTATTTTGACACAAAATCGGACTTTTTTCTGAAACGACATGCCATTTCTATATTTCGATTCTAAGACTCAAATTATGCCTAAATATTAAATTTTGTAAAATTTGGTTCGAAATTTAAGGAGAAATTCAAAATGTGGTGCATTTTTTAAAAGTTGCGCCAAGAATAATTCAATTGGAGAACTTAATTTATAGCAACCTATTTTCCTTTCCTTTTTTCATTGTAGACGGAGCCGGAAAAAAGACATTCATACTTTCAAATAATTTTAACAAAGTGCGTAAACCACATTTGGCGTTATTATCGTTTATAGCGAAATTCCAAAATGCGCTAATATGTCATTTATATATCAGAAAATTTTGAATAGAAAGTTCTAATGTTTTGCAGGTGTGCCTAGAAATACATCTACTTTAAGATGATGTTAATTTTATAGGTTATAATTAAATTTTTTTTTCGAAAAACGTATAAAAATCATTTAAAAATACGAATTAAGAAAATAAATCATAAAAAATGGGCGAATTTTATTTGGAACGAACTTAAATTTTGAAAAGTTAAAGGAAGAGTAAAATAAGTTTAATAAAGAAAAGTGATATTAACAAATACATACCAAATTCAATAAACATTGAGGAGCTAAAATTTTAGAGCTAATTTTTTAAAAACTACACCCGCGAGTTTTACAAAACTTGGCAGTTTCCCATAATTTGAGTCTTAGAATCGAAATAGGAAAACGAATTGGCATACCATTTCAGAAAAGTTTGATTTTGTGTCAAAATACCTATATTAGCACAATGCTATACATAACTCTAATACATATCCTAAGTCGCGCTTTCGAGACATAAAAACACACGTTAAATTTTGTCAATCAGCCCAGTAGAACGGGAGATATAAAACTGTCTCCCCCCTTTTTTTTTTTTTTTTTTTTATTTTTTGGCGCATTGTACATGGGAAAGAAGTTCAGACGTGAACATTCCTTGCATCCAGTTAAACTTTACTTTTTGTCCACCGCTTGAATACCTTTCTTGAGAAGAGTTTGTAAGGTAATGGCAGAGTTTAGTCTACCTTTGTGATTAACAGCTGCCAGTTTTGGTCCTGATCCATTTCCATTCTTTTTTTGTCAGGGCTGGTAAGACAAACTTGACGACATTCCAAATGCATTCATTGGCTACTTGGTTTTCGATTTGCTAAGTAAAAAAAACTATCAAGCGACAACAGCAGTTGTTTGCAAATTAAATTTCTTCACCATTTCTCACTTTGTAGACAATCAGTTGCAGAGTGGTAAATTAACTGAACTCTGTTAGTTGGACTTAGCTTTAATTCCAGGTGAAAGGGTTGGTTACATGGGCAGTTCCGTGATTTTCTCCATCAGTAAATTAGGTACGAGAGCCAATTTCCTTTGGAAAATTCTCCACGAAGGCATCTTAACACATAACCTTCGCGTGTTTTGTCACAACAAGATAAAACGATCTAAGCCATTTCTTATTTCTAAGCATAAGGCTGTAGCTGTTCGATGATCTGTCCAATAGATTTACACTTTCTATCTTTGAATCCGCGACTGAGAAGGGACAAGACTCATTTCTCCATTCTTTTCATTATAAATACATTTCATTGCACTGGGTTTGTTGGCGGTAGCAATAATTTTTTCTTCACGATTCCTTTTATGTCTTAGAAAGCAATGAGTACTGTACTGAGTTTTTATTTTAGAGCAAGAATTTGCAGCAATCGAAGATTTATCGCGATTTATACTCACGTCTCGTAGCATACAACAAAGTTATTCAGAAAATATGGGTTTCTTTCGCTTGCAGTATACATACTATTCAACTATTCAACAAATAATGTAGCCACACTCTCCTAAAGAAACAAAATAATAATTCAGGCTCTAAAACTACCGCCTGGAAATGTAATCTTGGGATCTGGCATCAGTGACAAAGCTCACATTTCAGTTACTTAATTGATAGATAACAGAATCATATTTTACTTCATCTAAGTAGCCTCGTTTTCAAACTGCTGCTTTATATATTTCAAATGAAATTCTGATCACTAAAATTATTTATAAAAGTGTTATGGTAAACATATTGATGATTTACATACCTGATACCCGCATTCATTTGAAAGCTCCTGCCACAGATCTGCTGTTTGCGCATTTCTGAACTGATATTTCTTGAGAAATCGCTGGAAATATAGAAAATAACATAATATAGTGTTTCTAATATTCATTTACATATAAAAAGATTAATATTTTATAAAATTCAATAAAACGAGCTATACCTATTCCTCTGATGATTATGTTTCCTTTAAATATGGTGTACGTTCCGTTGTTTAAATATAGTGGACTGTAAATTGACTTGATATTACTTCAGTATAGAACCCAAAAAACCTCAGACTCCTAACGTTGACCGAAACTTCTTTATTGACTTTCAAATAGTAAGTTAGTTGAGGAACGGCGAAGACCACACAAACTCCGACTTCAGTGGCGTCTTACCAACACAAACTCAGAAGAACCTCTGCTTAAGTTGAAACTCCAGTAATTTCACAGCAACCTCAAAGCTCTAAACGAGAGCTTTAAAAACCTAACAAATTTGCGTCTGCGCCGCTCCTCGGTACAAAGAAAGGAAATACAATTTGCCATTATTACATCGAACATACCCCCAGCCTTGAAGTCCAAGAGGGTTCAAACAATAAATTTAAACTGTTGAACTGCATAAACCTGAAAAATAAAAATTAAAGTCTCTAAAATCAGGAATTAAATGGACAAAGCGCATAGCTTTGCTATAGGTCGTTTTATTTCACCATTAGACGTGCGTAAACTCACCACTCGAACTTTCTCATCCAGACCGGGATACACTTTAATAATTCTACCTAATTTCCAACGTAGCGGAGGTAGATTTTCGTTCTTAATAAGAACCATATCACCAATCTTCAGGTCTTGTTGTACCTTGCACCACTTGAGTCTCTGCTGCAATCTAGATAAATACTCACTGCTCCAACGATTCCAGAAATGTTGAAATAACCTTTGCACGTTCCTCCAACGGTCACTGCAGCTCATGGTTTCTTGAATTTGGTTAGATTCTGGAATAGCGCTTAAAGCCGCTCCGGTTAAAAAGTGTCCTGGTGTTATCGCCTCCAAGTCGCTACAATCACTTGAAGCTGGTACTAAAGGGAATAGAATTAAGACAGGATTCAATTTGGGTTATTAATGTCAAAATTCCTCGTATGTTAAAAATAAGTGTTCCTAAACATCTTTTTAAGTGATGTTTCATAGACTTGATACCCGCTTCCCAAAGCCCTCCAAAATGAGGGGCAGAGGGAGGATTAAATAACCATTTAATATTTTCTGAAGAAATATAACCCTGTAGCTGTTCATCACGTTGAACAATAGAAAAGGCTTTCCTTAATTCTTTATTAGCTCCTATAAAATTCGTTGCACAATCACTGAATTTCACACGGTTTGCCTCTACGAGCTATAAACCGCTTAAGTGTCGCGAGGAATGATTTTGTTGAAAGATCTCCAACTAATTCTAAGTGTATTGCTCTTGTAGTAAAACAAATAAATAGACATACGTAACACTTAAAGATTTTGACTCCTCTACCCGGACGATATTTTACGTTAAATGGTCCTGCTAAATCAATCCCTACACGAGAAAAAGCTCTACTTTGAGTAACTCTTGAAGCGGTGGGTAAATCTGCCATTAGCTGAGTTGCAGTTTGCGCTCTAACTCTACGGCAGATAACACATTGGTTTATACACTTTCTTATAATATCTCTAGCATTCACAATCCAAAATCTATGTCGTATGACAGAAGTGAGTAGCTGCGTACCTGCGTGAAGATACGTGTCATGATAATGCTTAATAATTAAACGCGTAACATTGTGATTCTTAGGTAAAATCATAGGATGTTTCTGATTATTTGAAACTGCAGAGTTTCTGATGAGCCTTCCGCCTACACGCATTACTCCCGCGGAATCCAAGAAAGGACTTAAAGACAGTAATTTACTTGATGTCTTCAAGGGTTTACCAGATTCTAAACAGAATAATTCTTCTGGAAATTCGGCTCTTTGCACAATCCTAATAATCATAGAAGTAACTTCACAGAATTCTTCAGTAGATAAATAACCCTTTATACGCTCTGTAGGTAACTTACTACAATTATTTCTAAATCTTAAACACCACGCTAACACTCGACATAACTTTAACCATGATGAAAATCTTAAAAACACACTAGGCTCTTCAAATTTGGAAATATGTGAACTGAAACTCTTTTTCAATTCCTTCAACATAACTTCACCCTCTAATTCTACACTTGAATTTTGCTGTACATGAAGTACGGATTCGTTTTACCACTGCGGTCCCTTCATCCATAACTCACATTGTAGGAATTCTGATGGAATAAAACCTCTGGTCCCACAGTCTGCAGGATTTTCTTCCCAGCAACATAATTCCATTGAATATTTGGAACAGTTTCCTGGATTTTTGCAACTCGATTTGCCACAAAAGGTAGCCAACGGCGAGGTTCGGACGAAACCCATGCCAATGTAACCCGCGAGTCGGTCCATGCGTAAATATTGTTAATAGGCAGTTCTATGCATGATAATACTGCATGTAAGAGGTTTGTTTAAAAGTAACGCAGCACACAACTCTAGTCTCGGAAGAGACTGGGTTTTTTAAGGGCGCTACTCTGGTTTTCGATGTCAGAAGGCTGACCTTTGACTGACGAATCAAGGTTCGATTGTTACGGAGATAGATGACTGCACAATAAAGCCTTTTCTGAAGCGTCGCAGAAAGCATGGATTTCTATAACTACTGCCTTCGGACTCAAGACATACCTCGGAAATTGTAAGCTTGAGGCAGAAAGTAAGGGCAATTCTAGATAGAAACGCTTCCATTTTCCTACTTATTCTCTTATCAACGAGTTCATCCCAACCCAGCTGTAAGTTCCATAACTCTTGTAATAATATTTTCGCGTATATTATTTTTGGCGCTAACCATCCCATTGGATCAAAAATTTTGGCTACTTCTGATAAAATAGTCCTCTTAGTAAACTCTTTATCACTTATGCATACCGAAAATGAAACGTATCACTAGAGTTGTTTCCAATTAATTCCCAATACTTTACTTTCTTGTCACTGTTTATTTCAAGAGAAATACTGGATTCTCGTAAGCACTCGGGAATATTCTCTAAAATAGCTGAACTGTTTGAAATACACTTCCTTAAGCGAAATCCACCCCTTTTCATCATTTCATTCAACTGCTGAACTAGAACATTCGCTTCCTCTTCACTTTGTGCCCCTGAAAGCAAATCATCAACATAAAAATCACGAAGGGCAATTTTTGATGCTAAAGGAAATCTCACTTGTTCATCTAATGCAAGTTGTTTCATTACTCTAGTAGACAAATATGGCGCACAGGCAGTCCCATATATGGAACTGTCACTAATCTAAAAATGTACTCAAGGGCTCACTAGGACTATCCCTCCAAAGCATTCGTTGCCAATTTGTATCTTCTGGGTGGACACGAATTTGTCTGAACATCTTCTCTACATCAGCACATACTGCAATTTTGTGAGTTCTAAATCGTAGAAGAATTGGAAACAGCTCTTGCTGAACTCTTGGCCCAACCATCAAAATATCATTCAATGAAAGACCCGATGTCGTTTTAGCTGAAGCATCGAAAACAACTCTCAGTTTAGTCGTAGTACTTGATTCCTTTAATACGGCATGATGAGGCATATAATACGTAGAGTCAATAAGAATCTCTCCCTCAGGCACTCCCTCCATATGTCTCAGCTCAAGGTATTCCCTCATGAAATCCTTATACTGTTCATATATCTGAGGCCTTTTTTAGAAGTGAATTTTCTAAAGATTGGAATCTACGCATAGCTAATTGTCTGGAATCTCCAAGCTGAGAAGGCGGAGAGTGAAACGGTAATTTCACAGTATATACCCCACTTTCCTCTCTCGTATATGTAGATTTGAAGTAATCTTCACATGCTCTCTCCGATTTAGTAAGCATGTCAAACGTAGGTACAGCATCCAATTTCCAAAAGGTCTGACAGCATCTGATCAGTTTCCACTTGTATATTATTAACATAGATAGTAGGATTAATTTCTGTTGAATTATTCACACTACCTGAAATAATCCATCCTAGTTCAGAACGAGAAGCTACCGGTTTACCTTCTTCGCATTTAATTATTTCCCTCCCTTTCAAAAAGAGGTAAGGCAATATCTACGCCTAAAAGTATATCAACAGGCCCACTTTTGTAAAATGTTGGATCTGCTAACATTAAATCATTATATTCCTCAACGTACTTCTTATCCAATTGTAAAATGCGGCAAAGTTCCAATAATTTCTATTGATGATAAATACTGGTGTTTTAAATGACACTTTCGCCGGAAAATGTGGGAACGAAGTTTATTTCCGTAATTCCATTAGTTTTCGTATCCAAAGACCCTAAACATGAAAAAAAAACTTTGGCATTTCTTCTTGCTAACCCTAGCCTTTGTACACAATCTTCTGAAATCAGGCTTGCTTGACTGCCGAGGGTCAAGGAGGGCTCTACACAATTGGTATTCACCCGATGAATCAACACTTTAATAACAGCCGTACATAATAAAACTTCACTCTGAAAATTAAAGTCTGAAAACCACAGATTTAATTACTGGACTAGATTTTGCGATATTCTCCCCTGACCCAGCCGATTGAGCGCGAGGTTCTGGCCCAGGGAAAAATGGCTTAGCCGTCACTGATAATTTATTCGAACTGTTCGAAACTCCTTTAAGTGCCTTTGGTTCATTTTGAACTCTTTCGAAATGCAGTAGAGTGTGATGATTTTTAAAGCACTTTTTACATTTATGTGTACTTCTACACTCGAAAGCTTTATGGTTTGAAACCAAACAATTAAAATAAACATTATTTCTCTTGACAAAATTAACGCGTTCCTGAACATTCAGATTTAAAAAACTTATTACATTTAAAAACTGAATGACCGGCTTTACAATACGTACACTGCGCGCGAATCTCTGAAGCCATGAATGAAGTTAATTTGTCTTTTGTAACTTGTTTTTTTAACACCTTGCGTTTTACCTGCTTGCAAGGTTCTGGCATGAGATTTCAAGAACTCTAGCAGATTATTAAGTGTTGGTATTTCCTCACTCTTTAATGTTCTTTCCCACCATCCTCTCGTCGAAGAATCCAATTTAAACTGAACTATTAACATTAAAATAGTATCCGCGAATTGCTCCACTTTGAATCCTAGATTTTCAAACGAACATACACACTCTCTTACAGTGTCTACTAACGCTAATATCTGACTAGGAATTTCAGATTGTAAATTTGATAAATACAAGATTTTCTTTAATAACGATGAAAGTAATTCTCTCTTATGTGAAAATCTTTGACACAATAAATGCCACGCTATTTCGAAATTCCTGTCACAAATAGTTAAAGCTTGAACAATCCGCAAAGCATCTCCCTTTAAAGAACCCTTTAAATATTGTAGCTTTTGTGCACCTGATAAACGGTCATTATCCACTATCGCCATTTTAAATAAATCAAAAAAATGATAACCATTCTTCAGCACTGCCACTAAATACAGGAAGAAGAGTTAGCCTTAGGTAAGCGTATACTCGCTATTTCACAAGATTTAATTTCCACACTAATGTCTTTAACATTCTTAACTCTGGTTAGCATTAAAATTAACTCATCAACAGTATCTTGTATGACCTGCTGTTCTTCTATAAATACATTCAATATCTTTTTTCTTCACACACTACAAATATGTTACTAAAATATCCGAAAGTTCTGTCATTAAGTCATTTAATCTAGATTTAAAAAGTTCTAACTGATCAACATCAGCAGAATCGTAAGTCACGGTAATTTTCTCTTTCAGTTTACTTAACTTAGCTTTAGCTACACCCTTTTAGTCTTAAGCGTTGTAAATTCCATTATCTAATAAGAAGATAAAAAAACACACTGACTCACCAAATTTACTGTGACTCCGTAGCCGACGGACCATAAAACATGTACGTTCCGTTGTTTAAATATAGTGGACTGTAAATTGACTTGATATTACTTCAGTATAGAACCCAAAAAACCTCAGACTCCTAACGTTGACCGAAACTTCTTTATTGACTTTTAAATAGTAAGTTAGTTGAGGAACGGCGAAGACCACACAAACTCCGACTTCAGTGGCGGCTTACCAACACAAACTCAGAAGAACCTCCGCCTAGATGAAACTCCAGTAATTCACAGCAACCTCAAAGCTCTAAACGAGAGCTTTAAAAACCTAACAAATTTGCGTCTGCGCCGCTCCTCGGTACAAAGAAAGAAATACAATTTGCATAACATCGAACATATGGTATCAAAGAAGGTAAACTAAGAATCAACACGTATTTATTTTCCAAATTAAGTATTGTATTAATAATTGTTATGTACAAGCTATTAAAAATGATAAAGTGCTTATTCATTTTGTATTATGAAAGTTAACCTAATTTATAAATACTAATTTATTGTAAAATAGATTAGGGTAGCGATCAACATTTACACTTTTACATTTCTTTCAGAGTTCATATGACAGAATTTGCATTTGTGTAGAGACACTGCTATAGAAACTTAGAAATATTGCAGCGTGATTTACATACTGCACATACAACTTATTTACCGCTATTACAAAATGAATTACATAGCTTTCAGCTGACAGCAAATTAATATTTAAAAGTGAGTACGAAAGATTAATTCCGTATTCTTTACCACATATTTTATTACATTTTCCATTAGAAGTAATTACATTTTTGCAATGGAAGCAGACGGCGTCAATATATTGTACGTAGCTTCAAGTACCTATATTCACTTATGTTAATTAAAATTCGTATTGTGTCAGAAGTGTTAATTTATCAATTACAATTGCCAAGATCAGAAGTATCAATTCGAATTCGTTATAAAAGTATTTTGTATGATATATAAAGCTAGTTTTGCGATTGCCCAACCATAGATAAAAATTTATCTATCAACCGTACAGATAAGTAATACTCCAGAAAACGATTTATTTCTAAATCTAGAAACATGTTTTCTGACATTGAAACTTACGCGAAGATTTCTTATTCAACAGATCTGGGCATAGTGAATAATACTATGTTGCTATCAAGGAAAAAAACAGATTATACTGCAATGGATGATAAGGTAAGTGACGCCTAGGGAAATTACAAGCATAGTCGCCATAGGAGCCGCCTCAAACGCCGATTTTCGGAAGGGGTCATCTAAGTTTTTCTCGCATCGACAACTAAAAAAAAAAAAAGATATAAATTGCTTTGAATTCTTAATATATAAGGCATTTTATTCCTCCTTTCCGCATGCCTTCGTTTTGGAAGTGGAAGCACGCTCGACGACGCTATTTTCGTTATTTAAAACATTTCTGTAATTGAAAGGATATTACTACGATCAAGGATTGCGAAAATAAAGGCCGAGTAAGGACTTTTAAGCCGGGTTAGCAAGAGGGTATACACACACACATATATATATCTATATCTATATATATATATATATTCACATACACATACTTTTACCGATTGCAAAGGATCATGCACAACTATGTGTTATAGCACTCTCATGCACAAAATTTCAACGTTATACAGCTAATCGTTTTTGAGTTATGCGAGGTACATACTCGTACATATGGACGTCAAAATCCATTTCACAATCCGTTTTGGGGGAAAAAAAAAAAAAAAAAAAAAGACTCCTTTACTCCGTCCGTACGTACAGACATCATGCAAAAGAGCAGTCAAAACGGATTTGAGAGCAGTCAAAAATGGGTATCTATAGTCTATCTAGTCAAAATGGGTCGTTTTGGAAAAAAGACTCCTTTACTCCGTCCGTACGTACAGACATCATGCGAAAGAGCAGTCAAAACGGATTTGAGAGCAGTCAAAAATGGGTATTGCAGTACATCATTTACTTCGTACAAGGAAGTAAAAATAAAAATAATTCATGTTCTTTTTCGACCGTGTGGTAAAAAGTTATAAAAAATGAAGACAGTTCTCCTCTGGTTTGCGCAAAAATGTGATTTTTCTGCTTCCTTCTATATTAGATCACTAGTAGTTACACTAATAGAGATGCAATGAATTATTAAAAATTTAATATGAATCAGGCAATACAGGAGATTTTTACCGAGTTTTAACGAAAGTTTCCAGCCACCGCAAATATCGCCTGTGAAAACAGTTTGCATTGGCATGTTTAATCATATTTTGTCAAACGAATTTTGGAATTTGAAAGAAGAGACTTGCTTTAGAACACTGTGTTGTGAAATTTGTGAAATGAATATCGTTATCGTTTAATACAAGGTGTCTGAAATGGAACTATCATGCTACCAGATTAGAACCATCATTTACATCTAGTTTCGTTGCAAAAGGTCAGCCACAGAATGTCACCAAATCATGTATACAGCTTTAGGTACTAATGTTGTATCATATGATACTATGAAGATTTGGTATCGAAGGTTCAAAAACAAGGACTATGATATTCAAGAAGCAGAGCGTTCTGGCTCGCCTACAGGTGTTGATGAGGCCTGCCTTCGAGACCTTGTGGAAGAAGATCAGTATGCAAACACTCGAGAACTTTCTAAGGAGTTAAACGTTAGTGCCATGTCCATTAGTCGCGCTATGCATCGCATAAACGTGACGTGCAAGTTCAATCGCTGGGTGATGCATAAGCTGACTCAAGCAGATAAGGACAGACGTGTTCGGGCCTGCTTTAATTTGACCGAATATCAACGCGAGGACAAAATTCTGGACCGGATCGTCACTTGTGATGAAAAGTGGATTTACATCAACAACGCAGACCAAAAAGGGGGATTGTCTGCGGCCGGTGAGCCCGTCCGCAGAGTCAGAAAGTGCAATTTGATTAAGAAGAATATTAAGCTTTGTGTCTGGTGGGATTGCCATGTATCCACAAGTATTATCTGGAAGAAGATAGAGCACTCGACAGTAAGGTGCACAGCGAGATGCTAGTCCGTGTTGACGTTGTTATGAAGGAAAAACGTCGAATTGAGTTCCGGTGGAAAAAGGTAATATTCCATCAAGATAATGCAAGACAGTTGGTGAATGTAAGTCTGCATTCACCGACTGGACTCTGTCGAATAGGATGTTTTGCCACCATATAGACCCGACATCGCTCCTTCGGACATCTGTCTTTTTTCACAACTGCAGCTACATCTTGCTGGTGTTATCTTTACTTCTGCACAAAGGCTTTAAAAGCTACCAAAACGTCGGCAGAAAATCTTAGATTTGGGTTGTGAATACTACTCACACTAAAGGTACTGCTTTCATGTTTTTTTATAACTTTCTTAAGAATGTTTTTTGGCAGAAAACGTTCGTTACCAGATATTTTTATTTCTGAACATAACTAGATCTTCTTCAACTACATAATTTTTCGTGTTATAATATTTACAGATACTTACCGATATACCTCTACGAAAGTTGTCTTTTCCAACAAAAAACTCCAGCATTCGAAGGACTGATGCACCCTAATAAAAAAATAAAACATTTGAAAAACGTATTTTTAAACTTACATTTTATTTTATTATCATAATTCTATTAAAATTACGTATATAATGAAATAAATGTTTTAGAATATAAGTATTTAAAAGTTAAATACATGCAAGTATGTAAAGATGTACCTTTATTAAAAAATTGAGTTTAGAACACAACAAATGGAAGATAGAAACAACGTATCACAGGTGCAAGCAAGAAAAGTGCAGCATTCAGTAGGAAATATGATTAAGTATAACTACGATTCAAAGTGTGCTGAGTACAAGATCGTCAATGAGCTCTTGAATCATCGTGGCCTTTATTTTACATAGCAACAATTGCAGCTACGGAATCGCTGCTGGCGGGGATTTCCAAAGCTTGCTTAGAACGTATTACATGTGTTCTATTGGGGTTTTGTTTGGGTTCTACATGCGGTTCAATGCGCGCAGCGAACATTTTCATTCTCCAACAGTTCATTGATATCAGCTATATGAGGAGACGTAGCGCTGTTATCTATGAAAGCAAACTCAGGCAATTAAGGAAAGATGTCGCGAGAAAGAAAAGCACCGATAAAGTTGCGGTCACCACTGACTGAACTTTCTTGGAAGATGGAAAGCTCCCTACCGCCACTAGCTACTTCTCCAAATGAAAACACCATTACCTCCAAATTGATGCTTTTCGGCGATGTTAAAAGAGAGATTGACCGTTCCATTTTTTTCTCCAGATACTGAAGCGTTTTGGAATCGCTAGCAAGAATAAATCGGCTCTGGTCCGTAGACAGCTCTCATCAGAGTTACTGAGCTTCCCACTGCTTGCGCTCCTAGTACTACAGAAAAAGCCAAGGCACACATTAGACTGGTCACCGAATGAACATTGTCATGGTTACGGTATAATGCGATACTGAGGGTACAGTAGTGTGATACTGAGGGTACATTAATGTGATACTGAGGGTACAGGTTTGCTTAGCGAATTCATCCGTTACCTAATTTCGTTTTCTTCTCACGTGTAGGACTACTAATTCTCTGAAGATCTACTCCTGCCGTTCAGAATGCCATTCAAGCTTGAGACACAATGCTAATGGAGATCCTAAACTCATCGGCGCTACTTCGATCTCTTTTTTCAACATCCCTATTATCTGACTTCAGGTAAAATCGTCCAGATGCCTACCAAACTGTCCGTTAGATATATCCCCCCGGGAGTACAATTTGACCTTCTCAAGACAATGCCTATTTAGTAATAATTTCAAATGAAATTTTAAGAAGAGACTGCTGTCATTATGCATATCCTTCCTACGACAGCCACTACTTGTGGATATTTGCATTGCATGCGCCTTATAGCACAATTAATTATCTCTTGACTGTTATTCGTTCGGTCCTGCCTGTTCGTTCCGCTGCTGTATAAATTTATTTACTTCATGCTTAATCTTTATACATCAGTTTGTACTATGCCTTCCTTTAATGTGTACATGCTTGTTAGCCTAATGAAAATTATGGCATTAGCAAACAACATCTAACATTTATTTGTATTAAAGGAAGAAATCGGCAGTCATTCGTCGGAGAATGACGAAGTAGCACTGCAGCATTCATGTATCAGTTCAGCGAGTTTAAGCGTAGCAAACATACAACAACCGATAAGAAGTTCAAGAGCTGGCGATGTTCAAAAGCTGGCGAAGAGACAACAGAGACAACGCACCAGTGACTGTGTATTAAATTAAATAAGTTTTGCCAATCTCGGAGTTAATGAACACATTTATCTGCAGTGAAGAGGATTATGTTAAATATCTATCAAACGACTAAGCAAAATAAAATACCTTTCCGTAGGAAATATCGTCAAATATTTCTGTGATTTCATCAGGATGCGTGACGGGTTGTACAATAGGGTGAGAACTCATTGTTGAATCCAAATCCATCACTGGCTGTACATCCTCTGTCACAAACTGTGAGAGCTACAAAGAAAGTTTTAAAACACTGTTATTGATACTGAATATAGAAATTATTTTCAATGTTCACAGTTTTGATTAAGGATCACGGATTATGATTTTTAATTATCATATTTTCCATTTTCTGTTCCTTGCACGCGCACACACATGCATATACATATGCACAGCAATCCCTCTTGTGGCTATTATCTTACTAAGGAGGTAGTATTTCAGGGAATATTAACAAAGGTATTCACGTGATCCCTTTAAGATGACCACTGCCATCTTCTTTACAAATCTGTTTTGATTTTTCGGTTATTTGATAAATGCATGCACATGCAGCGAGTATAAATTGAACACCTTGTATTTCGATTGGTGTAAATGTTATAAATATGGAACAAAAAATGTTTTAAACAGGTTTATACAATGCTGTTTTGCAGTTTAAACTTTATATTACTCGGACATTAAGTTCATGAGAAGCATTCTCTACTACAATGGCGTTCAACGTTGTCACATTTAAAATCCGTTTCTTTTTCCTTCTACAAATACATTGTAGATTGCCGTCTTATAACTTGTATTGCAATGTCACGTACATGTTACCGGGAAAGTATAAAATCCGGCATTCTGTAGAATACCTGGACATTTACGATTAAACATTTCACACATTGTCTAGGCATTTGTAGAATGCCATACGACAGACCGGCAAAGTGTGAAATTCTTTACCGATTCGTTTCGAATAACTGAAACTACTTACCAGAAGTTAATTAATGATGTAAAAAAAATGATTGCTAAGAAGGAACCACTGGACTATTGGTTGCTAAATTGCTATGTCGTGATGTTTGTGGAAAGCAAAAGTAAACTCATTTATCCTATTAAAGAGGGGTCAGTACTATGCAGTATTACTTCACGGATGCTGAGTTATTTCACATACTTCATGAAACTCATTTGGCTGTTGGACACGGAGCACATAACAGAATGTTGAACGAATTTTCAGCCAAATACAAAAGCGTTACATGCAATGATACTGTACTGTACATCCATATTTGTGAGCTGTACCAGAAAAAAAAAAAAAGGTGTTAAAAGTACATTCTTCTGAAACCAATGATTTTTTTAAAATTTAATTCCCATTATCAGGTAGATCTTATTGATTTTCAGTCTCAGCCAGATAGATAAAACAAATTTATTATGGTGTACCAAAATCATTTCATTAATTGTTTTTACATATTTTGAGTAGAAGTTTCTTAATAGCAGTCTTTCATTATTTTCCCGAAAAAACATTTGTGTTTTTAAAGAATGAACTCCTTTAAGTAACAGACTTAACATGACCTTCTTTTCATACTTTGTCTAAAGAGCATTTTCATTCTCTAGAATGCCTAGATATTATACACAACGCTTAAGTAAAGTATGTAATAATTCGTTATCCCTGGCATTCTATAAAATACCTAGGTATTCTATAGAAGGCCGGAATATCATACATTGCCAGTAACATAAAAAATCAACTGTTTTTTTATTTAAAACAGTAATATAACAAGCTAAATTATAATGAAATTGTTTACGATAATGGAAGTTAATAATAAGGAAAACTACAGCATAAAAAGTACAGTACTACAGTACTACAAAATAAAAACATTTCATAAATATATAGTTTAAGGGAAAAAAGGAGCTCTCCACTTTGGATTCAAGATTAATGTTGGATATATAGACACCGTGTGCTGGACTTGTAGTACTATATTATACAATTTAATTTAATCTAACAGGCTGACTCAGCAACCTAAACCGGCGATATACTAATTAAACATCCAGGATGCTTAAAAATCAGAAATTTGTCACATTAATGAATTAAGAAGCGCGACCGGAAAAAACCTCAGTCAAATATAACAAGCCATGACAAGTTTTTGTTAGGTAAAAGTGAATTACTAACTTTTAAAAGTTAGGACTTTTAGACGAATAATCCTGTTTTTTTTTTTTTTTTTTTTTTTTTTTTTTAACGAAATTTAATTTTTCGAGAAAAGGAAGCTATCAAAACAATCTCCAGCGCGTTCTGAGATTGTGGGGTGTCGTTTATAATTTGAGTTATTTTCTTAATAGATTAGTATTATTTGCAAAGAAAAAGAAGTTTTTAACGGTTTCTGAAGATCGATGTTTCAGATCACTTATTGATTTAAATATGACAGAGAATCCGAAATCTTATCTGACTTATTCGTACACTGGTGTGCAAAAATTAAGGACGAAGTCAAAAAATTAGCATATCAGCTGAACGAAGAGGCAGAGCGGACAGAAAGACCAATCAGGAGATTAAGTAAGGTGATGTACGGTAGCACATGCGCAGATATGCAGGTAGACGTAATGGGGGAGTGTCTGAGTAGTATAAAGCATGTTGTCGGTGTAAGATCAGTATTTCTGGCAAAGAGATTGCACGCCGTATAGCAGTTAAAATCACACCGAGTTGCTGCCTCAGCGAGAAATGGCGAATAATCAATCTGTTAGACGACATCTGGATGCTTTTACCCGAGGTCGAATCATTGGGAAGTTGGAGGAAGGCCGCAGTGTGACAAGTGTGGCTGCAGAGTTCGGAATTGCTCACAGCATCGTTTCACGACTTTGGAGACAATTTAAAACTAATGGAACAGCTATTCGGGGGATTAGTAGTGGTCATCCACGAGGCACCACACCCGCAGATGACCGGTATATTGCCTTACAGGCCAGAAGAAACAGGCGGCAGACATCGAGAGAAATCGCTAGACACACGACACAGGCGACTGGACGACCGATATCGCGTTTTACCGTGGCCAGAAGACTGCACGGTGGTGGTCTGTTTGCACGACGCCCTGTACGGTGTGTACCTCTAACGCCTGCACATCGGAGAAGGCGTTCTCTGTGGTGCCGGGAACACCGGAATTGGAGAGACAATTAATGGGGACGAGTACTCTTTACAGATGAGAGCAGATTCAGTCTGACAATGCACCATGTCATCGCACAGTAGCTGCCGAACAGCTCTTAGAGAGTGAGGATATTGAATGTATGGATTGGCCGGCACGATCTCTGGATCTCAATCCCATCGAGCATGTATGGGATTTTCTAGGCAGACGCTTGGCAGCTCGTACCTTACCACCAGTAACGATTCCGGAGCTTCGATTGGCGCTGCAAGACGAATGGGCAGCAATGCCTCAACAACTCATTAACACTCTCATTCTCAGCATGGGCAGACGCTGTGAGACCTGCCTAGCAGTCAGGGGAGATCATATCCCCTATTAAAGGCGGATGTTTCTTGCTGGACACCCATCACAGGGATGTTTCGGCCTCAGTCAGTCGCATTGCGCTCCATGGTACTTTTTCAATAAAGCTTCTTTTTTATCCCTCTGATTTCTCTTTTAGTAAGTGTTGCTTACATTACTCATGTCCTTACGTATTGGGGATCTTACGGTATTAAATGTGTTGATTTGGAAAGTTTTGTACAAAGTTATATTGAAAAAACCGTCTCGTCCTTAATTTTTGCACACCAGTGTAAAAGGAAAAATCAGGCTGTGGTCAGAATTGGGAAGGTGATCTCTCACGGGACTAGTATCGACCTCTCGTGTGTGACTGGTATATATTGGATACTTTATATTCTTTATTTTTGTCTCATTATTTACCCTTTTGGTATCGACTTCTCACATGACTTGTATTTCTCCGCACTTGCATTCTCTTCCATTCCTTTGTGTTTGCCGTCCCATTTCCCCTTTTGATATGTATTTTTCTCTTACATTCCTTAGTACATTTAATATTTACCGCACACAAATTTACATAGGCAGGGGCCTACACTATTTTATCTTACATGCAGTTCACCCAGAGGGGCTCTTATTTGCGGAATATTTATGTGTGGTTCCCCTGGTAATAACGTGATGCAGTTCACGCTGAAGCCAGCGTAAATGCAAGTATCAAAGTATCAACATTATGCATTGAAATGCTTTGTTAGTTTAGTTCTTTTGTGGGATCCATACTGATCTGCTTTTAAATTCTGGAAGAGCGAAAAACGATTTTACTTTGCTTGTTTGTTTGTATATGTGAACACAGCCGTAGCTAGGGTTCTCAGCATCCTGGGGCTAGCTAAAGATTAGCGCCTCCTTCTGTGCCCCAAGTATAGGGAACATTTCATTCTAAAATGTGGTAACATCAATTTGGCGCCCCCTGGATGCTGCGCCCAGGGACAGATGCCCTCTTGCCCCACCCTAGCTACACCACTGTATGTGAATACTGAATAACGCGCTATGCTAATCTGCTTAAGGGAAAATGATGCTTTGATGAAGACATCCTAAAGGAAATTAGTTCTTATTTAATTACACCTGTGGAAAACCACGAACGCCAGTCCAATCGCCAGGACTCGAATCCGGGACGAATTACCAGTGTTCATTAGTTTTAATTTATTTCCCACTAGTAAGCTTCTTTAACGAAGAATTTCCTATATTAACATATAGGATAGTGTTTTTTAAATTAAGCTTTGAATTCAAGGCAACATCAATTTAAGGTTTATATGCGTGTAAATATTGCATAAATTAATGGACGTAGTCTAAATAAAAACAGCGCCCTGCATATAGCAAGTGATGCGCTAACAGATTTAAGAGCAATGTGTGTACTTTTAAACGTTTATTTTATTTTTAACGCTATACTTCTTTAATATCTCTAATATATATCCGAGAGGAATTCGTAGCAATGTGAAAAGACAGCAAATTTTGAACACACGTAGTCCTGCATCCGAACATGTGCAATTCGAAGCCAGAATTTTATTCGAACTTGTGTTTTATTTATTTTATATTTTGTGCGAACTTATCGTATTGATAAGATTCATGAAATCAATGGATGCTCTATTTCCACATACTCACTGTTATTATCATGCATGCGCCTTAGCATGAGAGATTAAAATATGAAAATTGCATCCAATAAAATTCTGCAAGTTGAAGAAATTTAAATAAAAATATGAGGGTTTAGATTTTAACTGTTGCATAAAAAGGCTCTTTTAAAGTTTAATATTTCAGTCGAGAGTATCAATAGAAGTAAGAATAGAAATAGACTGAATAACAAATATTTTATAAGTTTATAGATGAATATATATTTAAACTAACGTGGGAACGTTATACATCTTTTGTATACTTAGAAACTGAAAAAAATATCTGACGTAATATAATACAAATATTTAATGTTTTTAATTTGATATATCATGAATTAAATGCATTAAGTCAATAAGATTAAAATGTACAAAAATAATATTCTTAAATGCATCCGTTGCTTTTAAACAACTTAGTTTGTTAATCAATAAAGAACGAGATTAAATATGAAAGAAAGCTATACATTTTGTCGAATGGCAAATGACTCGAATGAAAAGTAAGAAAGCGATTTAAAGAGAATCACGCAAAATCACGTTTCGAGACTATAATCCTTTTGAGCGAATAAATAGATAAAATCTGAAAGTTTCAGATTTTAAAGTCACTTGCAAGGTAAAAAAAATTTAAAAAGTTTTATTTGTTTGTACTAACATCACAGTTGTTTTGTCTGTTCTTGTACTGTTGATGTTTCCTTCTTTTGATAATCTGTTCTCCCATATAATGAAAAATAAAAATGTTCATTGGTTGCTTTAAGAGACGTGAAACTTCCGATCACGTGATATTTTGAAAAGCTGTTCAAGTAAAATC